AAACAACTGCTGTGGAGAAGGCACCAGCCATCTCCACCAACCATCAACCAACTGCCAACCAAATGCCACCCTCAGGATGAGCAAAAGTCAGCTTAACTGGAATGAGATAGACAGGAAGCAGCATATCCCTAGGCAAGTCAAACTACCACTTTAACCAATATCTCCCTTCAAACCCCCATGGAGATAGCCCTGCACCCTGAGCCTGAGAGACTTGGTAAGAGCAATGCTTCTGACCCAGTGCCGGTAGCCATCATCCTGTGAAGCAACCCCTGTAGAGATGCTATAGCCTCTATAAAGCTGCTCCTACAGATGCTACGTCCACAGCTACATCCAGAAAGGAAAGTTCTTTCTGTCCAAGTCCTAGCCACTATCAAATGGGTCAACATCAAAAACTGCTATGATTTTACCTGTGGAAACATCATTAAAGTAGAAGCAATGCTATATGCTTTGCCTTCACACCCTAAAGTGCATGGGACCTTCCCATCTGACTTGCAGCTGAAACTTTCTATATGTGTTGTCCCCCTCTTTAGAATGTGAGCTCCTTGGGAGTGGGGACTGAATTACTTGTCTAGTTGTACCCTGGGAATTTAGCACTGTACTTTGCACATGTGTATTCAGTCATTTCAGTCATGCCTGATTCTTCATGACTCCATATTGGGGTTTTCTTGGCAAAGATAGTGAAATGGTTTGCCATTTCCTTCTCCGACTCATTCTATAGATGAGGAAACTGAGACGGCTCAGGTGACTTGCCCAGGATCACACAGCTAGTTAAGTGTCTGAGGCCAGATTTGAATTCAGGAAAATGAGTCTTCCTGACTTCAGGCCTGGCGCTTTATCCACCGCATCAATTCATTTGTTCATCATATTGCTACACACGAGGTGCATCATCAGTTCCAAGAGCACCATCTTGTAGCTGCAGCCTGCCAGAATCCAGGGGGAAGAAGAAAGGAGAACAGTACCCAGAGATCATAGTCACAGCTAGACCCAGCCCACTTTCCTCCCTCCTATATGGCTCATATGAAGGAGGATGAACTTTTCCAGATTTCTCTTTCCCAGAAGCCTCCAAAGTCAAAGTGAAAAAGATGTCATCAAACCAGTATAATTGGGATACAGTCTGTTTTCATCTTACAGAAGCTGACATCTCACTCTCTCTCTGTAGTATTACTCTCCTGGCAGGGAGATTTCAAGGTCAGACTTACACTGCCATATATCCATATCTGAGGAAAGCCTAGATGGTTGGCCTATTCAGTATTTTTCCAAGGTAGCAGCCACTCCTGGCAGTTGGAAAAATCAAATGAGGAAATGTATGTAAATGTTCTTTACAAACTGTGAAACATAATACAAATATAAAGTATTTTGTTGCTGTTGTTACAAAGCTGAGCTTGGAACACGGTGATTTCTGACACAAGGGCACAGCAGGAAAGGCTTGGTGAAGTCGCCCTGAAAAATATCTAGGCATTTTAAAGATTTTAATTTGTATACTAGGACCTGCATGTGCCCAAAGGCAAGAAGACTGTAAATCATCCTTCCCCAGGCTCATTCATCACCTTGCTTTGCATGTCTCTGGATGTAAAAAGAAGGAGCTCACTTTCCAGCTGTTTTATTCTGGACTTGGCAAGCACACTCCTGTCCGTAGAACAGTGAAACAGCCATCATCAGCAAATCTCTACTTATTTGAAAACAATGGAAATGTTGGATGCTGGATGAGGAGCAAAGCTTTACAAAACTTAAAAAAAAAAAAAAAAAGCTTCACCGGCATGAAACAAATGGCTTTTCATTAAGTCCCAAAGAGCAGTCTGTTTTACTATTAAGAAGAAAAGTCCAATGCCAAGTTTAATATTAATCGTCCACTGAGGAGATGAGTTTCAATTATGGCAGGCGGGAGGTAAGTTAGCTCAGAGGCCAAGCTTCCTGACTGTCAGGGTTGTTTTTCTATGAGATGAGCAGGTTGTCAATGGAGTCGGAGGATTTTCCTTTTTAGATCTGTTAGAAATGAAGGGGAGGACTTCTCTCCTCATCTTTGAGAAATGATTTCTGTGCAGGCCTGCTTGGTGGCTGGGGGAGAAACCCTGGGAATGCTGGGCATCTTCCCAATCTTGTGGTCACTTCCAGCTCTAAATCTTGTGAACTTGACAGTTTTCATTATCAACCTTGAGCAAAATTGAAAAATTGCCCAGATTTGCCTTGCTTCTCCTAGTACCCTTTTCTGTGTCCTTACCTTCTATCTTCAGCTCCTTCCCTACTCCCTTATCCCCAAGGCCTGGTCCCAAGGGCCCTCCTACTGCCCTAAGGTCAGGTTTTAGAGATTTAACATAATCTTCCTTCCAACAGTGTTGACATTTTAAAAGGAGACCCAAGGGTATGAAATGTTTAGCCTAATATCTAATCAGAGAATATAAGATGTAGGTATTAGAGCATCTCCCCAAAATCTAACTCAGATGCCTCTTCATAAAATAGAGGTGATCCAGAGTTCATGAAGGTCTATGCAAATGCCGACAGATGCTGCCGAACTGAAAAGTCTTCAGGTTAAATATAACTAAGAAAAGTAAGCATAATAGAGCACTGGCCCTGGATTCAGGAAGATCTGGGTTGAAATCCGGCCTCAGACACTTGACACTTACTAGCTGTGGCAAGTCACTTCACCCCACTGCCAGATAGAAAGAAAGAAAGAAAGAAAGAAAGAAAGAAAGAAAGAAAGAAAGAAAGAAAGAAAGAAAGAAAGAAAGAAAGAAAGAAAGAAAGAAAGAAAGAAAGAAAGAGAAAGGAAGGGAGGGAGGAAAGGAAGGAAGGAAGGAAGGAAGGAAGGAAGGAAGGAAGGAAGGAAGGAAGGAAGGAAGGAAGGAAGGAAGGAAAAGGAAAAGGAAAGGAAGGAAGGAAAAGGAAAGGAAGGAAGGGAAAGGAAAGGAAGGAAGGAAGGAAAAGGAAAGGAAAGAAGGAAGGAAGGAAAAGGAAGTAGAGGAAGGAAGGAAGGAAGGAAGGAAGGAAGGAAGGAAGGAAGGAAGAAGGAAAAGAAAAGTAAGCAGAGACAAAATTGCTCATACCATGTGAAAGGGGTAGGGGTGGAGGAGAGGCAGGAAAGGGGAAGGGAATAAGTATTTATATAATGCCTACTATATGCCAGGTACTGTGCTAAGTATTTTTACAAATATTATCTCATTTGATCTTCACATCAACCCTAAGAGATAGGGGCTGTTATTATCAGCTGAGGCAAACAAGGCAAACAGAGGTTAAGTGACTTGCCCAGGGTCTTACAGCCAGTAAGTATCTGAGGCTGGATTTTCACTCCGCTCTTCCTGACACCAGACCCAATACTCCAACATACCAGCTAGTTTCCAGCTCCATGTACCCCAAAGTGATAAAAGACAGAAAGTACCCATAAGGACAGAAATACTTATGGCAGCTTTTTTGTTGTTGTTATAATAGCAAAGGACTGAAAACTGAAGGAGGTGCCCATCAAATGGAGAATAGCTGAACAAATTATGGTATGTGAATGCAAGAGATAACTATCACAACATAAGAAATGATGAGGAGAATGGAAGACTCATGTGAGCTGATGCTGAGAGAAATCAGTAAAACAGTAACAATTTACAATAACATAAAGGAAAACGACTTTGAAAGATTTTAGAGCTCTGATCAATTCAATGACCACCAGGACTCTAAGACTTAAGATGAAGCTTGCTTCCCCCTTCTTGAGAGAAAGGCAAAGTTCTTTAGATACAGAGTGAGACATACATTTTTAGACATGAGTAATGAATAGGTTTGTTTTGCTTTGCTATACTTATTTATTGTAAGAGAGGACAGCTACTGGGGAACTGAAGATGTGGATGGTGATTTTTCAAAAGATCAATAAAACATTTTTTAATATAACAAAAAAAGCAGAAGTCTACAAGGAGGCACAGACAACCAAAGCAGTTTTGATAACAGCAGTTTACAGTTTCATATGCAATCCTCTTTTCTGTTCTTCAGAAAATGTTAATATTTGTTAAGTTCATAATTTTAAAAAAATTAAGCAGAACTGAAAGAACAATTTCACAATAACCATAAAAATGTAAAGGAAAACCAAGCTGAAACAGTGATCAATATAGTGACTAATTGTGCATCCAGAGAACTGACAGTGAATCATGCCTTATAGTAAAAGAGGTGGTAACCTCTAGGAGCAGAATGAGCTATACACTATAAGACATGGCCAATCTGCTGATTCCTTTACATTTGACATCCCTACTTTTTGTTATAATGAAAAGACTCTTGAGCTAGGCCTTAAAGGATGGATCAAATTTGAACAGGAGGGAAGGTATTTCACCTGATGGTGAGCCCTAGAAACTCTCCCTCAGCCCACAACTTCCCCAGAACTCTCCCACGTGGCCCTGGCATTCACATAATCCTTTCAATTGTCCCTGCCCCGATCTCCAATTCTCTGTTATCTCTAACCCAGCCCAGCCCTCACAGTCTGCACCTGGCCCCACCCTAGACCACCACTCCTTAATTCCATCTAGACCCCTTCCCAGGTCCCTGGCACCTGACCCCTCCAGATCCTTCTCTGTTACCTCTCAATCACCCAAGCTAATAGCTTGAACACTGTATATAAGTTGTCTGTCTTGCCCCCATCAAATCGCTCGGATTTGTTAAGAGTCTGGCCGGGTCTTTTTCTCATTACAAAGGCTTAGATTCTTAAAATCTCACCCACCCCAACTGGTGTTTAATAAGCCTTGTCTCTAGCTATAAAGAAGGCTTGAGTCAAATTCATTTGAGGTAGGACCAGTGTCTTTTGCCCTTGAATTTTGGAGTTCCAGCACCCCTACACCTCAACAGTGGAACTAGGCAGGAGGAAATGTCTTGAGCAAAGATTTGGAGGTGTGTATATATATATTCATATTACAATAAAAAGAGGCACTATCTCCTTCCCTCCTCTAACATCCTATCACCCCATTCTAAACCTATCCACTGTTCCATGGGTGAGGTTTAGGCTCATGACTTTCATCCTGCTGTGCTTCTATTTACAGACTTGGTCTCTAAGTGTGAGAGGCATGGCAAGGAAGAGGGATGTCCCATTGATCACCCGAACAGAGTAGCTATTCTGGAGCCACTCAGCTGTAAGTCCCCCAACACCTCCCCCCACCACTATCCATATGCTAGGGGAACAGAGAACAACTCCTGACCAAATTGCAGCTTTACAGTCAGTGACCAGAGATACACATTTCATATGAGAACTGTATCAAGATTGGAATGGAATGGAATACATTAACTTGGTAGAGCTTTCTGTTTCTACTCTGACACCAAGTGAACTTTCTTTCCTCAGAATTCCTAAAGCACCTATAATCCTAATTGCTTCACAGGTGTTCATCTTGCCTCCCCTACTACATGTGAGCTCCTTACGTTCAGAAATTGTATCTTCTCCCCCTCTTGCATTAGCACACGTTAAGAATGTATTCTCAGCTCAGCAAGTACTCAGTGATGGATTGATTGAACCGAATTATACTTCTGAAGAGTTCCATTCTCTTTAACTTGAGCATTATACCCAAATGTCCCCATCTTGCTTTCAGGGAATCTCTGGAGTGGCTATTGCTGGAGGAAATTTAGGGCTTCATCATTCTTTCGGTGAATTTTCTAATTACTCACCCTGTTATTTCTTTTCAAACACCTCAGGGTTTTGGCTATTAGCACTTGCCTCTCCATTGTTTGTCTTCACTGTAGATGTGACTCTAGACCAACCCATTCATTGCTCTTAAGCTGATATTTCCATAGCATTTAGAGGAAATGAGGTGCTAACAGTGGCTGCTCACCAGTTATGACTTTGGTTGCTTTGTTGGCACTTCTGCTGACTGCGGGCCCAGTAATTGGGCTAACCTTTAAAGTTCTGAACTTGGTCTTGTCTTTTGAGTCTTATTATATTGAATCTAAATGTCTTCAGACACCAAAGTCAAAGAAATTTCCCTGAATGGTCGAACTTTTATTATATTCTTATTATGAACTTAATCATTAATATGCTTTGCATAACTTCAAATGTGGAATGGGTGTCATATTTCTTGCCTTCTTAATGGGTGGAGGAAGGGTAGTAGGGAGGGAAAGAACTCAAAACTGAAAATAAATTTTCTTTAATAAAAAAAAATCACCTTCAAAAAAATCAACTTAATCACTGACAAAGCAATCAAATGAACAAAATAAGGAAGGAAATCTTATTTAAAAAAAGCCTTATCATTCATCAAGCTAGAACCAAAAGAATCAAAAAACAACAAACAAGCAAACAAAATACTGCTTTTGGTCTATGTTCCCAAGTCTATATGAAAAACTGCTATCTTTAGTTTTGCTTTTTTTGTTTTAAAAAAATGTAGCTATAGTAAAAGTGTGTGGTTCTGCTGCTCTCATTTTGAATCATTTCATTTCTGTCTTTCTATATTTTCTTATATGCTTCACATGTATTAATTTTATGGCCTAATGATATTCTATTACCTTAATATTCCATAGTGTTGTTATTTTTCTAACTATTGAACACATAGAGGCAGCTAAGTGGTGCGTAGATTAGAGCCCCAGGCCTAGAGTCAGGAAGGGCTGAGTTGAAATTTAGTCTCAGACACTTCCTAGCTGTATGGACCTGGTCAAGTCACTTAACTTCTGTTTGCCTCAGTTTCCTCATCTGTAAAATGAGGATAATAATAGTACCTACCTTGAAGGGTTGTTGTAAGGATCAAATGCAATGATAATTGTAAAGCACTTAGCATAGTGCCAGGCGTATAATAATGCCCTCTAAATGTTAGCTATTATTGGTACTTTTTTCTTTTTTATGATATTTTAGGGTAAAGTCATTTTCCACAAAGCTGCACTCCTTTGGACTGAACTGTATCACACCCCCCAGGACCTCATCATCCTTCAAGATGACATCAGCCTTGGTACTCATACTTCAACAGTACCCTGCCCCCTGATTCTCAGGCTGGTGGGTAGAACAAAGCACTCTTCACAAAGTTTCCCAGCCATCTCTTCATTTCCCACCCAGCTTTACTCCTTTGGACTGGACACCATCATGTACCTTCCCATCCCTCTCTCCACTGTCCACTTTTCCACTTCTTTGCATATGTCTGCCCCCATTAGATTGCAAATTCCTTGAAAAAAAGGATGGTCTTTTTTTTTTTGTATTTGTATCCCCAATACTTAGCAGAGTGCCTGCTACATAGTATGTGCTTTAATGTTTATTGACTATTCAGGGACTGTCCTGGGAGTAGGATCATTCAGTCAAAAAAATATGATCAGTTTTGTGACCAGACATGGACATGTTGTTCTTCAAAATGCTTACACCAATCTACAGTCCCACCAGGAATGCATGAGAGTGTCTATTTCCCTACAATACTGCCAATGTTGATTTTCTTTCTTTTGCTATTTTTGCCATCTAGTGGATCCTGACCAACTTTAAAGAAGATACTTCTAAGAAAGAAATCAGAGCAGTCAAAGAAGGAGCTCATCATTCCTGAGGGACCCCAAAGAATCCCAAAAGGAACTCAAAAGGGATTTTTTTTTATCTAATGTCCAAAAAACACAAATCATTTGCTCTTCAATCTGAAATAGATTTAGGAGAATGTAAAAGTTACCTATATTAGGCAACAATTAACCAGTAACTTAACATCATCAAGGAAAATTCTGAAGACACATCCATATGTATACAATGTCATTTCACAAAGGGGGGCCTACTGGATTAAGGAGGCATGATAAAATCAATTAGAGCCATAACAACCTGGAGACACTTGAGGGGCATTGCTCATTTGGAGACTTCCAGTAGCTGGGGGAAGTTATTCCCCCTCCAGCACTCTATGACTTCTGAAATCTGAGGGAGACTTTCTGCTGTAGGAAAAGGATTCCACAGCGTGAGACATTGCTCTAATGTTTATAGAACAGCAGCAAACATTTTGCTTCCTCACTTCACCATCTGAGGTCACCTTTCTGTTTTGAAACAGTAAAAGGGGAGGGAAGATGTATTTAGATTCCTCCAGTAGTAATATACATTTGTCACTCAGGGACTGACTGAAAATTTTCTCTCAGTATCAGGCCAACCAGAGATGTTACAGCAACCAATTTATTGGCAATGATGTTTTAAGTTAAAGACATTTCAGTTCTGGACACATACTAGAGGCATGTCTGTTTAATTTCCCATAACTATTTCTGAGTCCCCATTAGTACAGAAATTCTACATAGGCTTTTGTACATTAATGTCTTGTTAGTGACCATTGTTCCTATGTAAGGACTCCCAAGCACTTGTTTATATGATATAATTTGAGGAAGGGCACCTGGCTCTGTTTATGTCTTTCAAGACTTTGACTCCTTGCATCAGTCACCATCACACTGGCACTTCCTTCAGTTCCTAGGTCCTCCTCACTCTGAAAAAGGAGGAATTGGGGGGAGGAAGGTATGCCTGAAAGGGCTTGGTGTTGAAGTCAGAAGCAGAGGCTTAATTTAGAAAGGCCAAGGTCACCCACTGAATCCCAGACCATTGCCAGTTGTCTTGACTTTTGTCTTGCCACTGGACTTCAAAGATGCTGGAAGAGAGAGTGAGATTGACAATCCTGCCTCACCTAAAGCCAATTCATGCACAAGTCATGACATCATCCTCCTGATATCATTAGTTTTCTTCCAGAACTAAGGATAAACAGCAAATCTCCTCCTCCTCCTCCTCCTCCTTCTCTCCTTCTTCTTACACTCTTTGAAAGCAGGGATATCAGTATTTTGGCTTGCATTTGTATCTGCAACACTTCTCACAACATCTCTCACACATAGTGCTTAACAAATACTTGTTGCTTGCTTGCTACCTGAATGTCCTCAAAAGTATCTCTCTACAACACACAAAATTTCACAAATCAGCTTTTAATCCCTTATGGGTTAGCTTAAAAGAAGGAATACATTAGCAAAAGTATCTTTATTTGAGTAATGAACATATCTCTAAAGCCCTAGGCAGTGGAGCAGAAAACTAATGAATTTTAAATCGGGAGGTCAGGAGCACAGTAGGCCAGTTAGATTAAAGTTGTATTCAGGGAAACACGGAAGCCAAGAATGTTAGATTTGAAAGGAGCCTTGCAGGTCACCACATGAGTGCAATGAGAACCAAGGAGGGGAGTGGGAAAAGTGTGATAAATTTGCCTGCTTCCCAATTTCTTCCTGGGACCAGCTCTGATTACGGGCAACAGAAATATATTAGAAAATGAAACTCACACACAAAAAAAGAAACCCACAGCTTCATTTCACCCACCACCCTCACTATCAAAACTTGTACAATGTGGCCAAATTGACTGATTTGAGTTTCTTCTCCATTCTCTTCCCTGGTCACCCTCTGGTGGAAGTGCTAATGAACTATGAAATAGCCACAAGGCTGACTTCAAGAAGAGGGAGAAGACCAAGGACAAGAGAAGGGCAAGGACCATCCACCAGACAGATAATTCCAATGAAGTCCACAGTCATTTTTAGAATTTATTTTGGAATAACCATGAGCTACCCAGAGCTGCTCTTGGGACTTAATTTGTCTACCTACCCCTTTACTTCATGGGAGAGAGGATCAGAATACATAAAGAAGACTTAGGGCTGTTGAAAAGTCCCCTGGATAATTGGATTTGTACCCTGCCAGCCGGGAGGGCCAGGCTTTCCATTGCAATTCCCTGGGCAAGTTCCCTTTGAGAGAATAAGATTTCAGTGTGAGCCAAAGGAGAATCAATGGAACTGTGCCCTCCTTCAAAGCACAGAAAAAGGGGGAGACAGGAGAGTGACACTATCTGAATTATACAGTCTCCTCTTTCATAATGCAGCTTTGGAAGGCTTTGAATAAACTCCTAAAAATAACCATTCTTTGACAGATCTGTGAAGCCCCAAGGGAGGTAGTAGAGACTAAAGAAGAGATCCCACCATAAGCTGCACTCTGGAAATAGTGCAGAGCAACCCTGAATTGTAACAACTGCCACATACTGATTTTGTTGTTGTTGTTGTTGACTCTTTTTAGTTTTGTCCAATTCTTCGACACCATGGGGTTTTCTTGGCAAAGATATAGGAGTGGTTTGCCATTTCCTTCTGTGGCTCATTTTACAGATGAGAAAACTGAGGCAAACAGGGTTAAGTGACTTACTCAGTAGCTTACACAGCTACTAAGTGTCTGAGACTAGATTTGACCTTAGGAAGATGAGTCTTCCTGACTTTAGGTCCAGTCCTCCACCAATTAATATGGAACAAATGATCCATTGCATTCCAATGCTCTTCAAAAAATATCTCAAAAAATATACCAATTATGCCTCGACTTCCAAGGTATTGCTTAATAGGGTAATTTGAGTTATTGATCCATAGTCATTATTACATATTTTAAAATTCAGACAAGTAACATAGTAAGTTAAATGAACTGAATATAATCAAATATCACCAAATCACAGAGTTGGTAGGAACTTCAGGGACTGTTTAGTCTGACCTATACCTGAACATACATCCCCTCTACAACATCTAGCTTTTGCTTCTGTAAGTACTTTCCATGAAATGGAACCAGGAGTATGGTGGAGCCAGCTCTAACAGGCTCGTAAGAGCTAAATGTTAAATTTGCAGGCAATCATTTACACCTCAAAAATCTGCAGTTTGCTATAAATCAAAGTTTGATTTTTTTTTTGTTAATTTCTAAACTTAAGAAAGTAGTGTGGGGCAGCTGGGTGGTACAGTGGATAGAGTACCAGCCCTAGAGTCAAGGAGACCTGAGTTCAAATCCAGCCTCAGATACTCACTAGCTGTGTGACACTGGGCAAGTCATTTAACCCTGATTGCCTAAAAAAAAAAAAGTTTAAAAAAAAAAGTAATGGGAAAAGTATTAGTAATATAGATTAAATTTAAAAGTATGTCCTGGCTTAGATTCTTAATCTAGCCACTGCTCAGATTCTTAAAATCTAGCCACTAGCTTGCTAATGTTCAGATTCTGCCCAATATGACAAATGTTCTAATAAACCTTGTCTTTGATTGAAAGAAGGCTTGGGTCAAATTCTTTTGGGTAGGACCTGAATGTTCTGATTTTGGGGTCCCAGCACCCCTAAACCACAAAAGGAGGTGGGAGAGACAGCAGCTACAACTAAATGTGTAGTTTTAACTGTTAATGCCACATGGCCAAATCTCTGGTGTTTGCCTGAGGCTATAATCCCATCACCTGGCCTTTCACTGTGGCTACACCCAATCTCCCAATTCCGTTACCCTTAACCTAGCCTAGCTCTCCATAGTCTTACCTCCCTATGGCCCCCAGCCACTTCCCACCCTTAATCCTATCTAGGCTCCATTCTCCCTTGGCTATGTGGTCCAGGTCCCAGGAGTTGTATTACCTCATAGACTGCTTGGCCACTCCTAGATCCCTCCCATACTCTTTTTGTATATAAGACCCATCTTGTCTCTATTAAGATGCTTAGATTCTTAAAATCTAGCCACTGCTCATATTCTTAAAATGTAGCCACTAGCTCACTAATGGTCCAGCTCCTCAAGAGTCTGCCCAATATGACAGAAGTTCTAATAAACCTTGTCTTTGGCTGAAAAAAAAAAAGTGTGTCCTGCTACATTATTTTTTGAGAGCCAGTTGTTTAACATTTGCCAGTGCACTGCTAAAGGGAGGTAGAAAGGACCTACAACCTCCAGAGGCAGCTGAATCTATTTCTAGCTCTAACTGGTGAAGGATTTTCCTTCTATCAACCCTAAATCAAAATGAAAACAAGTGTTAGAAGCAGTCTGGAAGGAGAGAATTCAGTATTGACTGAAGTTATCAGGGAAAGTTTCCTGGAGGTAGTGAGACTGGAGCTGAGCATGGAAATACTTGAGTAGATGGAGGGGTGAGAAGTTGGTAGGCTTGCTCTCCATAATGTTTTATAAGGAAGAAACAGGTTTTCATTCAGGGACATTAAACTGGATTCCTTTGTAATGTCACAGGCAAAGAAATGCTAGATATTGGTGAGGAGAGGCCCTCAATATCAAAGCATGGGCCTTGCAAATTTCCAGATATAACTTTTACAGACTGGGGATTCTCAACCCAGCTAGTTTCTCCCCACCTAGAGGCTTACAACATGTCTTTCTCTCTCTCAAACCAGCTATACAGGATAGAGGTGCTGAATTATCTACTTATTATCTTTTGTAGGCATCTCAGCTCCAGATCAGCAACAAATCAAAAGGCTCATCTTCACAAGCTAAGAAGACCAAAACAAGACCTGGACAGTCGCTGAACACCATATGAGGATTGCATTACCAGAACAGAGTGCTCATGCTTATAAGGGTTGGGCTTGTCCAATCACCCATTATACAGAACAAGACTTATGTCTAGAATAGACATACTGCACAGGCGGCAAATGAGTCCTATGGATCTCAGAGACATCAAGGAAAAAAAAAGGTTTTTTGGATCATTGCAAATATATGATAGCCTCAAAAATATTTTCTTATCCTAGCCTGGAGGGACCTCAAACAGTTATCTAATTCTTGTTCCCTTTACTTTCAAACTAGCATACTGTATGTCATGGAAGAAGACTCCAAAATCTCCTTGTAAAGCATTCCAGTGCCCTTTTGATCTCTGATTCTCATTCTACAGTGGCAGAAATGTCAAAGATCCAATAGCCCTATTTGTGCTTCTCTCTGTGGAATCTTGTAAATTATTCTAAGCCTTGAAGAAGTTAAAAACACCCAACAGCAAAAGCCCATGTACTCTCACCAGAGGGGCTTTTCTATTTAGAGTTATTTTGACAATGCTTGTTTCAGATGTTAGGCTGGTTCCTTATGATATACCCTATGTTCTTCTCTTAACATAGCTTAGTGTAATCCTCTCCTTTATTTCATAGCCATAGTCTCCAACTGAAATTTGAGGTCAGAATTACAATTCAAGATAGCTAACTTAAGTCACCAGACAAATCCTGGGTCTCCAATTCCATCACACTTCCTGGCAAGAAATTATTATTCTCCTTCCTCAGTGAAGCGTATAGGGAAACTGAGTGGTGCAGTAGCTAGAGGGCCAGACCCAGAGCCAAGAAAACCTGAGTTTAAATCTGGTTTCAGACCCTCATTAGCTATGTGACCTTGGACAAGTCATTTAACTTTGCCTCTGTTTCCTCATCTATAAAATGAACTAGAGAAGGAAATGGCAAACCATTCCAATATCTTTGCCCAGAAAACCTTAAATGGGGTCACAAAGAGCCAAACCTCAACAGAAACAATTGACCAACAATAACAAAGTGTGTGATGGAAGATTAACAATATTCACTTCCCGGCATGTTAAATAGGCACCCACCAAGATGAAGCAGAGTGAAGCTTTCCCAATCATGATACTCCCTACGCTGATCTCACGGCACTTTCTGTCTGGAGTGGTTTCCAATAGTTCTTCTTACTTTTGGTAGTTCTCATTGAGTTCCCAGGGCCTCTCACCTGCCTCCTCCAGGATCTCGTAAGTTTCAGTGTCCCACATCCCATGGTCAAGATCCCATAATCAGAAATGCTCAAGAGAAAAGGAGTGTTCGTACAGCAAGCCTAAATCTTCCACTCTTTAACTTATAACCATTGCCCCTAGTTCCAGGTGGTCTTTCAGACAGCTGAAAGACAGCTTAGGGTAAATGTCCCCAGTTCCTTCAACAATTCATATGACATAATCTCAAGGTCCTTTGCCAAATGGATCACCCTCCAGTGGCTGTCCATCTTACCACTATTCTCCCTAAAAAGTATTGCCCAGAACTGAATACAACACTTCAGATGGAGCCTGCCATGGAATAATAACAGTAGGACTACTTCCCTCATTCCAGACTTCTACTAATCTAGCCTAAAATCACATCATTCCTTTTGAATGCCATGCTGCTCATGACTGACTCAGACTGAGTTTGCAATTCACTGAAATTTTCAATCTTTTTTACATAAATTGCTTTCTACCCATGTATCTATTCACCTCTATTTGTGCAGTTCCCTTTTTAATCAAAGTGCCATTTTATTAAAGTGGTTAGATCCTGACTGTGTCATGAAACGTATTAGCAATTCTTCCTAGTTCATTTGTTGTCATTCAGTCATTTCGGTCATGTCCAATTCTTTGTGACCCTATTTGGGGTTTTCTCAGCAAAGATAGTGAACTGGTTTGCCATTTCCTTCTCCAGCTCATTTTATAGATGAGGAAACTGAGACAAAAAGTGTTAAGTGACTTGCCTATGGTCATACAGCTAGTTAAGCATCTGAGGCCAGATTTGAACTCAGGAAAATGAGTCTTTCTGACATCAGGCCTGGCACTCACCACCTAGCTGCCTAAACCTGAAAATTTGGTAAACGTGCCATCTATGTCTTCATCCAAGTCATTGATTTAAAAAAAAGCATGAATAGAACATGTCCAAGGACAAAGCCTGTGACACTCCTCTAGAGATGACTTTCCAGGTTCTAATAGGTTCATTAACCAACAGCTCTCTTTGAGTCTGATGGATTAGCCAATTCCAAAACTACCAATTAGTAGGTCATCTAGTCTGTCCAAATCCTTTCAGTTTATGGAAATTTTACACAGATCAAGTCCAATCTCCTCCATGGAGACTTCACAGGCCACTTCCACCCACAGTGATGACTCCTTCCTTTGCACTCATACTAGAAACATAGATATAGTACTGAAAGTGACCTTAGAAGTAACCTAGTCTGCTCTCCCCCCTGCCCAACCCAGCCCCTTTTACAGATTATCCCAGAGAGATTAAGTGACTTGGCCATGTTCTCATAGACAGAGGTGGGACTCAAGCATCAGTCCTCTGACTCTAGAACTACTGGCTTTTCCTGGAACCCAATCATATGATGTCTTATGTTATTACTTAAATACTAGCTAGATCACTGATTATGGTAGAAATGATATTTTCAAAGTCATCAGTATCCAATAATATTTGTGAATCTATGATAGGACCTGGTTTTGAAAATTAAATCCTTTACATACTACATCCCAATGTGTCTGAGGATAAGTCATTCAACCTTTGAGCCTTGGGGGGTGTTTTCGGTTTTTGGTTTTTTGGGGGGGTTTTGTATTTTTAAAAAGAGAGTATTGGGCTAGACTACTTCTAACATGATTCTATTGTTCTACTGAAAAACAGAAAGGGAAAGGAGGACCTGCCTGTAGAAATTTTCACTTGTAAAGAACATAGCTATACAACACTTCTGGTTACATAGAAAAATAATACCACACATTATTATTTAAATAGTAAAAAAAAAATACACATATAGTTTGTATCTGTTTACTTTATACTTTGGAAACTGAAAAGCATTTTCTTATTGTAGTTAAGAAAGGTTCAGGAGACCCACTTGAAAAAACAAGCACTTACATTCATATACCTCTATATAATCTTGAAGGAACTTTCACATGAACTGTTTTATTTGATCCTCACCACATCCCTGTAAAACATAATGCAAAGATCATATAGATGAGGAAGCTGAGGCCCAGACAGGATCACTATGATATATCAAAAGAGCTCTGGTAACAAAGAAAAAATATTACATTTTTTAAAAGGATTATAAGAAAAAGATTACTAGCTCTAGAATCAAAGAACCTGCACTCAGATACCTCCTCTGATGATTTCTACCTGTATGACCTTAAGCAGGTCAGTTAACCTCCCTGCCTCTCAGTTTTTTCATCTGCAAAAAGAGGGAGCTGAGTTGGATGGCCTCTGAGTTTCCTTCCCAGTCTAGATCTATGATCCTATAACTTACCTAAGGTCAAACAGCTAATTAGTGGTAATCCCAAGAACAGAAAAACCAGGTCTCCTGACTCCTGGTCTCATGTTGTTTTAACTGGCACATGGAAGATGTTTAATAAATGCTTCTTAGTTGATGCATTGGTTGGTTGGTCGGTTATACCACACACTTGGGGTTTCAGAATTTGAACTATGACCACTGGGTGAAAGGGTTTATCACAAGACACCATCCAAGCTGAAAACACAGGAGCTGGCCAAAAATAAACGACCACTGGGTTCCTGGGACTCTGAGTTCTCACTGCTTCACCACATATCTAATGGCCGTGCGCCGACAAGCTCCCTGAGGTTGAAGCAGTTTTTACAGGTGACTAGGCAGCTGTTAGAAGAATGAGCTCAGAGTGCCTGCTAGCACTTAGCACCTCACAACTGCTGGTCTCTTATAACCCTATGATTCGTTGAAATACAGCCTCTCTCCAGAGTCTTGGGTTTAGACCAAAGGAAAGAACAGCTCTGCTGTGCATTGGGCTGTGCCCGCACCAAGCCTGTGTTTCAGCATTGAAAGAGACACTCTAGAGGTCCAGCCCTTGGCACAATTGTAAAGTCATCTCCTGTCCTGCTTTCTTCCTCCCTCTGGGGAGGTGGTGTCTCATTCCCCTCCCTTCCCACATCCTCTCTCTGACACCCAGTGCCCTTGTGCAGCTATCACAACTTGTCCTCAAGAAAGAATCTGACCCCATTCCTTTGTACTTCTGTGTGAACAGAAGTCCCTGGGTTCTTTCTCTCAGGGAGATAGCTGGACATCCTAGTTTGGAATGAAAGGCTTTATCTGTTAGAGGAGTTTGAGATATCATTGACAAGGTGGTTGGAAGGGATTTTATGAGACCCCAGAAGATCTTTTTATTGCCCCTGGAAATCAAATGCCTCAAATTAAAACCAAAAAACATTTACGAATTGCCCATTATATGTAAAACATAACAACAGGACTGAATAAACTATAAAGTTTAAATAAAGTACAACCCCAGCCCTTCCTTCCCTGGAAATTAAAGTCTAGAATGGACAGCTAGGTGGCACAGTGGATAGAGCACCTGGCCTGGAGTCAGGAAGACTCATCTTCCTGAGTTCAAATCTTGCTTAAGCCTACTAGCTGTGCGACCCTGGTCAAGTTATTTAAATTCGTTTGTCTCAGTTTCTTCATCTGTAAAATAAGCCGGACAGGGAAACAGCAAACCACTCCAAGTGTCTTTGCCAAGAAAATCCTAAATGCAATCAAGGTAATAATGCATATATTGGGCTATAGAACAACATTTATTTGCACTACAAAAAATGCAGAGAACCCATAAAAGACACACAGCAACTTATAAATAACTGATACAACTTTCCTCACTCTCTGATGAGACCTACCTTTCCATAGGGTTCTAAAGTGCTCTAGACTTATAGCACCACTTAACAAGAAAAAATGATCTTGAGTTTACCAGGGAGGCAATCCCCTCTCTCTCTTTTACCCCAGAGATCCAAACAGGCATCTATCTTTATGGTACTACCCTAAGGGTCTTAGAGTCCTCCTGGAAGGAAATAAACTTTGTAGTAAGGTAACATTGTTCTCCTAAAATCTACATTGTACAAATAATTTATTGTGACAGTGAGGGGCAAAGAGTGGATCTTTTATTCCTCATTTTATTACTCCCTTGCTGCTCTTCCAATATGGGGGCATGCCTTTGCTCCAAAGTTATGTCCAACTTAGGAACTCTTCTCTCTTCATAAGTCTGGGTTCAGAAACTCTCAATATTTCTACAAGAAGCTGAGATTTGGGGATTCTCCCCACTATGAGAATTAAAACATATGAAGAAAGTAAGATTTACAACAGCTCTTCTGATTTTCCCACCAGCTTGATACACTCTCAAGTTTTCATCTTATCTCTCTTTTCCCTTTCACTTCCAAACTTCTTGAAAAAATCATCTAAAACCACTTTTTCTGCTTCCTCACCCCTCCATCACTCCACCATCATCAGAAGTCTAAGCCATGGTTCTCACTTCCCTCCTACTTCATTTTTCTTCCCAGCAGCCTCTCCTCAGCCTGAAGATGACTCCACTCAGAGCCTAAATGGATAATTAAGAGTCCTTGCCCAGAACCACCAAACGCTAGCCTTTCTGCTCACTTTCCTCCAAATTCATTCTCTGCTCTGGCTACCTCGCGTACTTCTGCCACTCTTCCTCCCTACCCCCCACTTTCCACCTCTCCCTTATATGTTGTCTTCTCCTATTAGAATATAAAGTCCTTGAAAGTAGGGTTCATCTTGGTTTCTTTTCTTTGTGTTCTCACAACTTATAAAAGTGCCTGACACATAGCAAGCACTTAAGAAAGGCTTTATCAATTTAACCAACCATAAAATGGCTTCTGTCCCTATCACTACTAAAAACATTCATTAGAAATTCACCAATCATTTGTTAATCATAATTCTTCTTAATTTTAATCCTTAAATCCAATTCTCAGTTCTTATGCTCATGCCTGAGAAAGTAAGTTTTACAGAGCCTTTATCTACCCCTGACCAGTCCCCAGGAACCCACAACCATGCCCACCAAAACCTTCAGTTCCTAAACACCTAACAGAGAAAATTCTCTATACATCTTTATAGTTTGTAAATCCTGTAAACTCCCTCAGTGACTAAAATCTTACCTAAAATATACCTCTAAACTACTTCCCACATCTCTGTCATCTCCAATTACCACCCTATTGCTGGGGGTCATTTGACTAGCAAGCTTACGACTGCTTCCCCCATTCCAAAGAGTGTGTAATAGGCCCTGCTCTTGACATTGTGCAGAAGAAAAGACCGTCATTAATGTAAAATGAAAATTACTTACTATTGATTGCTCCCCAGAATTGAATCTCACCTCAACAGGCGGCCCTCTGCTGTGTGTTTGTTATATTGAAAAATCTGTTTAAAAATCACTGGCCCAGTTGACAATACCAGTTGTTCTTACTCTGTCTAACCTTATTGTTTCTTTAATAGAATTAAGTGCTGAAGGGAGCCTCTGTATGGGGTTGGATCTATTATAATCACCAAAAGATCTTTGTATTTGTCCTTGTTGATAATTTTCAACACCCTGCCTAAAAGCAACACAATTAACTCCCTCTACACACACATGTTGGTGCACAAAGGTGTGGGCACACACACACACACACACACACACACACACACACACACACCCCACATCTACATTCTCTGTATAGCTGGAGAAAAATGTGTAACTATTTGCCTACTAAAACTACTTTTCCCGAGAAAACAGCCCTAGATTAAGGAGAAAGACAAGGGAAATTCTGCCAGGCTATAATTAAAGTTTGTTAAAGGCTCCTGAACTGATCCCCATATCATAATCATTATTTCTTGCAACCTCAGGAAGGTTTTTTTTGCATAATAGGAGTCTCAAACGAAGGTAGTATATTCATCAGGTAGCACTATTTGGCAAGGTGTGGAAGTTAAGGTAAAAAGTAAAATCTAAAAGAAGAAATACCCACTTTCTCCTTTTCTCCCACCATAATTTCAACTAGTCCTGCATGGGAGAGTGGCCACTTGTCCCAGACACCTGCCTATTCACAGTGGCAGCCCTGAGAGTGTTACCTTCTTCTGGTCCCTACTTCTACTCTGCCCTCTCACTTCAGGAGCTCTTCTCTTTCTCTCTTCAACTTCCAACTCCAAACTTTGGCCAAACTTCAAGCTCCCATTTCAGCTGTACCTCCTCCCAACCCAGAAAAGACAAAGGGAACAATTTCAGAGAAATCTGGGAAGACTTGTCAGAACTCATGCAGAGTGAAGTGAGCAAGTCCAGAAGTTATTATATACTATATAACAACTATATAAGTTGTTATATACTATAACAACTTTGTAAAATTAACAATTAGGAAAGCCTTTAACAATTCTGATCAATGCAATAATCAACCAGGAATCCAGAGGACCCATGATGAAGAATGTTACCCAACTTCTAACAGAAAAGTTATGGACTAAATATGCAGAATGGGACACACATTTTTATATATGGCCAAGATGGAAATTTAGTTTGTTTGACTATCCATATGTGTTACATGGATTTTCTTATTTTTTTCCTAAGAGGGAAGAGAAACTAAAGTAATTGGAAAGAAAATAAGCAAAATAAATTATTGTTAATTAAAAACAAAATGTAATAAGAAAAATGAGTTAAAATAAAAAGCTTCCAGGTGACAGTTTATTCACCCAGGCGGTTATGGCCTGGGTGATCTCTTTCCTGTCCCAGCCCCAGTCTTTTCCCTTTTCTCCCCAGTAGTGATGGCTTCCCTAGAAGAATCTTAATAGTGTTCCAGAGTCAACTCTTTGTTTCTCTACCACAGGGTAGTGTCCTAAAGTCTCTTTCCACAAATACCTCAACCTAATTTATATTTCTTTTATTTTTAATACAAATTTATGAATACCTTTTGTTTTTATACCACCTATACTCCAATTAAGTGGCACAGTGGATAGAGCAGTGCACCTGGAGTTGGGGAAAACCTGAGTTCTAATCTGAACTCACACACTTAGTAGCTGTGTGACCCTGGGCAAGTGACTTAACCTTGTTTGGCTCAGTTTCCTCATCTATCAAATGACTGGAGAAGGAAATGGCAAACCACTCTAGTATCTGTCTCAAGAAAACCCTAAATGGGGTCACAAAGAGTAGGACACAACTAAAATGACTGAACAGGAACAAACATTACTCCATATGCCTTCCTTCAGAGAGCCATCTCTGAAAAAATAAATAAAAGAAATAAAGAAAGAAATACAAATAGAAAAAGAAGGGAAAAAAACAACAAAATTAAGATCATAGATTTAGAACTAGAAGTATCTTTAAAGGTTATCAAGTCCAACTTTCTCATTTTATAGATGAAGAAACTAAGGCCCAGAGCAGTTATGTGACTTGATCTGGGTCACAGAGCTCACAAGTGCCTGAGAGAGGATTTAAATCCAGAGTCTTCTTGACTCTAAGTTCAGTATCTATATACTATACCACAACGCCAATAACCAACCCATCAAAAAAGTCTGGCATTACGTGCAGTATTCTACACTCACAGTCACACCTCATCAAAGAAAGGGGCCAGGGAGGTGCCTTTCCTTGCCGTGGAGGCCAAGCTTGATCATTAAAATTACACTA